TGCAGTAAGAAACAAAAAACATGATGATAAAGGCAACGAATTACAGAAAAAAAAAACATATTTTATTTTACTCCAAGCAAATAAAACCGTACAATACGGCAACACAGAGCGAGGTCAATAATTTAGACACTCATATTATGAAAATAGGAACATGGAACTTGCAGGGAATTTACGAGGAAGGAGCAATAAAAAATCTAGCAAGAGAAACAAAGAAATATCAGATAGATATCCTAGCAATGCAAGAAACCCATCTAACCGGGAACAATACATCGGAGATACAAGATTATATAATGTTCACAAGTGGAAATCAAAGCCGTAGATTTGGAATGGGTTTCTTAGTACACAGAAATATAAAGGCATCAGTAGTAAATTTTAAAGCCGTAACAGAAAAATTATGTAAAATACAAATAAAAAGCGGAATACAAAATATAACAATAGTTAACTTCCACGCGCCAAAAGAAGAAAAGGATGAGGAAACAAAAGATGAATTCTACGAAGAACTAGAGAGAGTATATGATGAAATTCCCAAAAGTCATCTGAAAATAATTCTAGGAGATGCAAACGCAAAAGTAGGCAAAGAAGAAATTTACAAAAATATAACGGGAGGTGAAAGCAAACACGATATAAGCAATAATAACGGTCTAAGATTAATACATTTAGCTATAGAAAAAGATATGAAAATCATGAGCACACATTTCAAAAGGAAAGATATTCACAAAGGAACATGGATCATACCAGGTACTACAAAGACAAATCAAATAGACCACTTTCTCATTGAAGAACGGAACGCAAACTTAGTAAAAAATGTTAGATCATACAGAGGGGCAGATGCAAACTCCGATCACTTTCTAGTTATTGCTAACATAATTCTAACAGAACGAAAAAAGGTGAAACAAAAAAACCATAGAAATAAAAACACAAAATATAACATGGAAGAATTACAAGTAAACGAGGTATCAAGGAGATATAAAGCAGACATAGAAAGAAGTCTAGACAATACACCAATTTTAAACATGGCCAGCATAGTAGAAAAGAAATGGAATAACATAGAGAATGCCATAAAAACATCAACTGAGAAAAATATTAATAAGAAAAAATCGCAGAAAAGAAAAGAATGGTTAGATAACGAATGTGATGAAGAAATTAAAAAAAAAAAACACAATCTGAGAGAAAAATACCTGCAAACAGGGAACGATACAGACGGGAAAAAATATATAGAACAAAGAAAGGCTGTTAAAAATAATAATAGGTATTCTCAAAAATATTTAAAAATAAAATCGGGATGGGACTCTTGTATAATTTAGTGACTATTCGCCTATGGTTAGTGCACTACTGTATGTCCCTGGGTTTTCTACATTAGAACAATACTGCTTCTCCACTCTAGCAGTATTTTTTGCATCTCAGATTATATTTATTAAAAAACCAAGGAATTGTTTTGGGCCTATTGCTGGGCCCTTTTCCAACATTCCCAAAGTTTTTTTTTACTTTCTGCTGATTGGATCTCCGATAGCGACAACTCCATTTGTTGTTCCACTAGTTTTTTATCAAATTTTTAAAATAACTTCTATATATTTATCTTTTGCAATGACTTTGCTTACCTGCTTCATAATCTCTTCCCTATGCCCCTATTTCTCTAACAGGTGAGATCTTATACTCGCTCTATTAAATCAAATTATCATTATAGTTTATTTGAAAATGCTTGGTAGCACAGTTTTTATGGCAAAGATCCATATTTTTATATAATTTTGCTATTATTCATTTTCAAATAAACTATAGGGATAGGAGTAATCTATTAGTTTTTCTAAAATACCTTGTTACCGATGTAAGTATATCTTTCCCTAGTTAAAAAATTCGAGTTTTTATTTTCATAATATAATATAAATAAATGACCGGTTAACAATCACATTCTTTTAAATAGTACATTTGACATTGAAGTAGGTATTTTCTCCATATTGCCAAACAGAAACAGATGGTTTACTTGTAATTTGAATTATATTACATAAATCTCACTGAATTTCTCTATAATTCTCATAGCAATATGTACACAAACCACTTATCCAATAATATATAACCATGTAAAAATAACATTTCAAGAACGAGAAATTTTATAAAACCGGTCCTGTCTGAACAGATCTAGGAAAATCAAATAGGTTTGTCAAAGTTTTGTTCTTAATTTGAAATTAGAAATTGTGCGTCTCACTCACTTATAACTAATAACAAAGTGCAGATTATCGGTGTTCACGTATTACAGAACACACAAACTAAAAATCAGTGTAGCCAAAACATAAATTTACCTAACATGGCGACAAGCTTGAATGGGGTCATTTTTTTTGTATTGACAGTATATGCCAAGCGGTATCTAGACTTTCTGAGGGCTATGGGAGCTACACATTAAATATGGACAGTTCACATTTTGTCAAAAGAATAATGTATCCATTTCGTAAGTCATTTTACAACCTACAAGCTTTAAACCCAGTTTCTACTAATAAAGAATTTATTACATTATTCGATTTAGACAAACCGAGTAGATACATTGGGAAATTTAATTTTTTACACTAATTATGTATGTATTATGGTTAATGTTATATTTACTATAATACTCACATGGGTATGGAATGGTTCCATATGGATTGTATCCTTGAGGCATGGGCGGAGGCACATAAGTAGGGTACGGAACATTAGATGTCGCTCCATAGGGTACAGGCATTCCTTGAGTTTGAACAGGATATGGTAAATATCCAGGAGCTTGAGGTGCATTGCTTGGTGGTGATGTTGGAGTTGAATTGGCCGGTTTAGGGGGATCTAAAATAATAAATATTGTTTAAGATCCATTATATCCATTTTACCTTATGATTCACGAAATATTTTCATTTGAGTAGGTCGCAAATTAAAAAGCTTCTGACCTAAAACATTTGGGTCGTGTAAAAATCAAATATGTTGGTACAAATAGATAAAAGGGGGATAAACATTAGAACTTACAGCATTCTACATATAAAGGCATTCATTTCAGTAAAAAAAGAAGCTAACTCAAATAAATTGTAAAATTTTAAATAATATTTTGTAATCAAATATTTTTAGGACAATTTTGAACTCTTTTTTGTAAATATTGTTAAACAGCTACATTCGCATTAAAATTTAATTGTATTAATATTAAAATCCATACCCGAGTAATAGTTCGGAGTTGAAGGTTGAACAGGAGTAGTTCTACTACTTGCTTGTGTAAGATCTTTGAGCAGCTCTTCTTTTTCAGTTCTTCTAGCAAAACAGAAGTCCGATACTTTATTTTGAAAGGTTACCAACATCTGAAAATGAAAAATGTAATTGCTTTCATATTCGACTAATAGGAAAGTTGATTAAACATAGTCAAAATAAAATAATAATTTTATATTGATGTCTAATATCACAAAAGTATCTAAAGATTATTTTTGGAAGAACTATTTCAACTATTTCATTTAATTTAATATGCTGCCCAGATGTTGAGGATTCACTGTGTAGGACTGAAATATATAAAGATGGAGAAGAATAAATTAGCAAGCTACTCAATAACTGAACTTATTACATTTTTAAATTGTTGTAGAATCTAAAATATTTGTTAAAAAAATTACCTGAGTGAGGTCATTGTAGAATTTGGTACCTTCTATTAAATTCTTCTGTAAATCCATGAAAGCATCATGTGCAGAAGCGAGTGAGCACATCATTTGTTCTCTTCCTCCTGCAGTGGATCCTCTTTCAGATACAAATTGGGAATGTGTTTGCTAAACAGAGGATACATATTACTTTAATATCATTATATTAAATGTATTTGAGTAATTAAAAAAATATAAATAGTTACAAATTCATAATGATTGTTGGAATCCACAAACAAATTTCGTTTTTTTAATTATAATACATACAAGATATTTTTCTAATTTTGACCAATTATTTATTAAAGTATGTTTGGTAAAAATATTACTAAATATTAATTTATACATATATGTGTGAGATTTGTATACCCATTTATAAATGGTAATGTTAGTACCCGTAACGCCATCTATGTTTCAGCTTCATATAAGTGTTTCTCCTGTCACAGTCATCTGCAGTCTGTGACCTCCGAGCACATACTTTGATTTTCTTTTACTATACGGAGAATGGTCGCACTGCGCAGCTTTCTGAGTGCCTTTTAAAAGGAGATAGAAAATTCCGCCATTTTGAACCCTTATTACGTGTTGCCTACATCTTGGCGCAATAATAAGAATCAGTTAGCTCACTCGGACCAGTTGAAAGTTCCAAAATAACATCCACTCCAGGGATACAAATTCAGGATACGCAGAAGACTGCTGTTTTATTGTAGGCGGTTGTCATATATTGTATTATCCGAGTTGCACAGTGTATAAACTGAAACATTGAGATCAAAAGTGCCGACTCAGAGTGAGCGATCTGATTCTTTAGCTGTAAACTGTGTCACAGGGTTCAAAATGGCCGCGCCTTATGTTGGGCGTGTCGGACCTCTCTCTTGCCTCGTATAGTAATCAAAGTATGTGCCTCCGAGCAATTACTAATAGAGGGAGCGTGAAAACGAGTTTGTAGGCGATTGTTGTGTTAGCAACATCTGAGGAGGAAGTGAGGAAGCGGGCACAAGGGGGAAGGTAAACATTCTTCTTGTTCAGTGGCGTATCATTTATCTATAAAAACACACATTGTCTAAACATTTTAATTGTAAAAAAAAACTAAAAAATTTGCTAATTTTACTATTTTTAAAATGAATACCGTCTTATATGTGTCTAATGCAGGAAATGAAACAAAATCACTGTAAAGGTCTAATTTTTTCAATTGTAGAATAAAACCTTAAAATCAATTTTATTATAAATAAATACAGGAACGACTAGTTTCGGCCTTACAGGAACATCTTCAGGCCTGTAATACAATAATCTTTAATTATTATAATAGGTTGGTCACTTACGAATAACATTAAATAGTATAAACCACAAAAATGGATCTATATTTTAGTGTTACAGCATTATTCGCAAGGTGCAAAGTATATGGTGGGGACAGTCGAATCGACAGCAGCGTTCGCAGTGGACGAAGTAGGCATTAAATCTGGATTTTGTTGTGAATAAATTAATAAAAGAATTTAAATATCTCCTGAACGGTTGGATTTACGAAAATTTTTCGTTTCTACTAATTTGTAGAGAACATTTTTCTCCGTCGAATGGTGACTAATTCATTTTCCTAAGGTTATTAGTTTTTGAGTTTTAACAAAAATTTAAATTAAATTACATTTAGTTTTTAATTATTACGCCATTATATCAAAAACTATTGAGTTTTGGAAAATTTTGCAAGAATACAAATTTGTTAATCATACTTTTTTCTTGCCAACAAAGCAATTCTTATACTTTTATCTTTAACCATTCAGAAGTAATAGGGATAAATCTTCACGGCATACGATAGCCTGAACATGACATAATGAACAAAATCGCTAAGCAAAATACGGTTTGTTTTTCTCGGTCTTTTGACGTTTTGACAGTTAACATTACTTATGTATATACGAAAAATGGGGCTTTCTACTTGTTGCGTTGTGAATTGCAAAAATACAGGCAAAAATAGTAGTTGCAAATTTTATACATTTCCGACTGCCAGTTGGAAATTAGAAAAAAAGAGCGAAATGGATAGAAGCAGTTAGAAGAAAAAAGTAAGTAATGTACAACCTAACTTTTACCTTTTCTTATAATTAAAATAATATTTTTATAGTCTTGATGGATCACCGTGGATTCCAAAACCAAATGATTGCATTTGCAGCGATCATTTTATTGGAGGTAAAAAATCAGAAGAGGAGGCAAGTCCGCGCATTTTCTAAATTCTTTCACTTCTCTGACATGATCTGCCCTTACCAGTTGGTTTCCTCTGTGCATAGTTTTAGGTTAAAACAATATTTCATGAGATATTGCCTCAAGTCCTGTTTGAATAATGATGTTCATTGGCAGAGAATTTATTAAAACATATTAATAGTTTAAATTGTTAAACTAACCTTTTTTGACAGTTAACCTAATGCTATTCTTATGTTCTTTATTTTTGGCCTTTATCTATTCAGCATTATTCTATTTAAAATAAAATTTATTTTTTCTACAAACGTCAAAAAATAACAAGGTTCGCGCATTGACAACAATATGCGAAGTGACCCTTTTTTCATTTTCCTTCGTTACCATGACACCGACACTATTATACTCATTAAAATTACTTATACTTACTTTTTTTAATCGCGATATGTAATATTTACTATTTATTTAATATTTATCACGTATTACGCTTATATTTTAGGGCGATTTTCTTTTTATTTTGTATTTATAAAAATTTTACATGTAATTCATCATTGATAGGGCCAGATTTAATGCGGTCACAAGATGTCGCTTCCTTCGCGCACAAGGCGAATAGAATTAAAGCTGTGAAAATAAAAGAGCAGTGCAAACGTAACTAAAAATAAGAAAACTGAGTACGGAATCTACAAGAGAAGAGGTGAGAATGAGCAATTACGAATTCATTTAAATTGCTCGGGATAACAAATAAAGCTGATAATATAGTGGTATAGTCCCCGTCAAAGAAGGTCTGGATATGTTAAAGAGGACGGCGTTTTCTCTGTACATCTGGAGAATGTAAGAATGAAGGGAAGACGAATCTTGCTGGCTCAGGTGTAGATGGCTAGAAAAATGAGCGTGTAGATGAAAGCTCCAGTAAATATCGTCACTTTTGTCTAATTTTTTATTCTCACTCACCGTTTCGGCTTTATCTTCGAAATTCATTTTTAAAAGAAAATAAAAGTAATCATTCATACAAGTATATAATAAAACAACATAAATTCATTATATTTAATAAGCTAATAAACGTTTGTTTCAATGAAAAAAACATATGTAAATATAAAAAATATATAAATAGATAAGATTAATATCAAAATCAATTTGAAAATACAACAGATAATAAAATGAAATAAATTAATACAAGTACAAATAGAAAGTTAATAACATACCTTCTAAAAGTAACACATTTTAAGTAGATAAATGTTAAAAGAGTTTATTCCTGAACATAACTAATCTAACGTTTTTCCCCTTTTTAATATTATGAGGGTTGTTGTAGTTGAAATGAAAATTATAATTTATTTTGGTTCTAATAAAAATTTAAACATAGGATATCAAAGAGTAAAATACATAATAGAACTTCATAATCTTAAATCGTTATCAAAAATTATTAATGGTAAAACTTCAAACAATAATTAGATTCTTAAACAAATTTCTAGTTTTTGTTTTGCAAAAGACTTTTTTGCCTTCTTCGGTTGCCTCTGCCACTTTTCTTTTAGTAGTTTCGAGGAGAATTTTCCTATGAAAACCAGTAGAACCATCAATTGGTTGGTAAAATTTTGATATTTTGGGTCTGGTAAGTCTGGTTAAACTTTATTCTTAGGAAGCTGTAATCTTATGGAGAATAAAAATTTAATGTTAGATCAAAAGCTCTTAATTGAGAATTATATTTGCAAAGGCCGTTTTAATAATAATTTCAAAAGTTCTTGGAATCATTTTATTCCTAAAAAATAAGATATCACACAATGCACATTCATATAATATCATTGTGCTAGAAAAATACTAGGCAGGTACTGAGACAATTTAAAAAAATTATTTCGAGAAACTCAACTTTTAATATCATCATTGTACTTAACTTTTTTTATTGTTAAATTATTAATAATGTCATTTTGTGTAGTTCGTTGTGATTTGTATAATATACCGGGTGTCCCAGATTTTTTTGCCCAGCGGATATCTCGGTTATTTAATGATATAAAATTGTAAAAAAAATATGAATAATATTTGTCTAGTAGCCTTTTAAATTCCACTCCATAAAGTTATATTCATCAATCCACCCCATAGGAACAACCCCTAACTTTTTTTTTTCAAATGTCACCCCTATATTTTTTTTCGCTGATATAAATACTCAATTTGTCCCGAATGCAACGATATGATATTTGATATACTTTACAGAGTCATAAAGCCGGTAAAGACTAAAAACCAATGTTGTGGTTAAAGTCATTAATTTTGTATCACCTGGTATTTTCTTTTTATTTTGATTAGAATTGCTTCGTTTTTGTTTTTTTTTTTGTTACCTATAACTAACTAACGATATGCTTAGACCATTTCTGAAATTGTTCGCTAGCTATAAACAACAGACAAAATGCCCTTTACATTCACTCCAAACGAATATGTTGATATGCTTTTAATTTTTGGTGAGTGCCAAAAAAATTCTCGTGCTGCTGTACACTTGTATCAACAGAGGTTTCCTGAGCGCCGACAACCATCACGTAAAACATATTCTTATGTTGAGACTAGGATGAGAGAAGGGTCATTTCCAGGAAAAGACAAACATCGTCAACATGCTGCTGCTGTAAGAACTGAAGAAATGTGCATTAATGTATTAGCTTATGTGCAAGTACATCCCCAGATATCGACGCGAAACCTAGCTAACGAGGTTCATATTAGTAAGCCGTCAGTACAAAGAATCCTAAAATCCTATAATTTTCATCCGTTTAAAATTCATTTGCATCAGGAACTTAGAGCTGGAGATTTCGAAAGAAGGATAACATTAATAGCACATTTTGAAGATTTAATGGAACGAAATCCCAACATTTTGAACCAGATATTGTGGAGTGACGAATCAAGGTTTCACAATAATGCTACTGTAAATCGTCACAATATGCATTATTGGTCTCCTGAAAACCCTCACTGGGTTAGGGAAACTAACTTTCAGACCATCTGGGGAGTAAATGTGTGGTGTGGATTATTTCAGGGACGACTGATAGGTTCCTATTTTTTTCAAGGTACGTTAACTGGTGCTAGGTACTTACACTTTCTTGAAAATGACCTTCCAGAACTTCTTGAAGAAATTCCAATACAAGAAAGAGGTGCTATGTGGTGGCAACAAGATGGAGCTCCTCCACATAATAGTAATTTAGTTACCCAATTTTTAAACGAACGCTTTGAAAATCAGTGGATCGGAAACAGCGGCCCTTTGAGGTGGCCTGCGCGTTCACCAGATTTATCGCCTCTAGATTTTTTTTTTATGGGGATATCTGAAGACCGTGGTATTTGAAACACAGCCATTGAATTTAGAAGATTTGCAAAATAAAATAGTACAAGCCTGCAATAACATTACACCAGAAATGATTACAGCGTCATGTACTCGTGAACTCATTCGACGTTTTGAAGCATGTTTGGCAAGTAATGGGGGCCATTTCGAACAATTTTTGTAAATATTCAATTATTTAAAAAACATATTAAGAGGTTTACCTATTCATTGGATTTGTTATTTTTTAATATAATAAAATGATAAAATGTAAACTAATTATTAATGACTTTAACCACAACATTGGTTTTTAGTCTTTACCGGCTTTATGACTCTGTAAAGTATATCAAAAATCATATCGTTGTATTCGGGACAAATTGAGTATTTATATCAGCGAAAAAAAATATAGATGTGACATTTGAAAAAAAAAAGTTAGGGGTTGTTCCTATGGGGTGGATTGATGAATATAACTTTATGTAGTGGAATTTAAAAGGCTACTAGACAAATATTATTCATATTTTTTTTTACAATTTTATATCATTAAATAACCGAGATATCCGCTGGGCAAAAAAATCTGGGACACCCGGTATATTATAAAAACCTATCGTCAATGTTAATGTGCCAAGTTTTTTTAATAATTATGTCCTTGTTATTCTAGTAAAGACACATTTTTAAAGTTTTCTGGATTTCTGCTTTAAATTATCGTACAATTGAACTGACTAATTGTGTATTTAAGTAAAGGTATATCTCTTTTTTGTTATAACAGTCTTTGTATATTGTTAGATAATCAGAGAAAAGAGTAAGACATCTTAATATATCCTATTTCACCAACAAAAATGTAGAATAATTAATCTCACATCAAACGAAAAAAGTCATTTTAGGATGTCCTAATAGGTTTTAACTTAAAAACTAAATAAAATGTATATTGCAACTGTGTTTAAATAAATGAATGTTTTTATACCTGACTATAGCACCAGACAAACATTTTTTTAGATCATAATGATCTGCATAACTCAAAATAGTCAAAATTCACATTATTTAAGTTGTTCTAGTATTGTTTTAGCATAACGATGTAAACTCCAATAATAAATATTCACATTTTTTTGGGGCGTTTTTTAAGGAAATTAAAAAAAAAAACATGAATAATGTGATATTCTTGTTTAGTTTTGTACTATCTAATATAATCCATTAGGTAGTGATTTAGAAGCAAATTATGTTCTATTTATAGAATAAAAAATCACTCATAATATCTAAATATTTATACCTATTTATATTTTGGACAGGAAGACTATTTTATGTTTTTGGCTCTGAATAGTTTTCTTAAGAATTTTAAAACCTTCCTTAGCTCTTTTGGGATATTCCATGCATATCTTAGAAGTTCATTTTGTTTAAACCTAAAACAAATTAAGTACAAAAAATGAAAATTTAAACAATACACAAAATTAGTCTTTTAGATTAGTTAAAAAAAAGTGTCAACAAAAAATGGCTGTCTTTTTCCTTGAACATTATTTTTGAAAGAAAATTAAATTTCTCTACCTACTTGCCGTTTTAGTATTTTAGTAGCAGATGAATATAGTGTAGAAGTAGTGACAGGATTGATTATTATACTTCTTTCGTCAAAATTGCATTTTTCTTTAATATTTTCCTCCCCTGAGGTCTGTAATAAAAATGTTCATTAGCATAAAAAGTTGTTTAGGTGTTGAATTCCTATATTTTGGAACCATGTATTTCTTTCTCATATCAAGAAAAGGAAACCTAAAAAAAAAAATAACAATAAACTTTCCAAAGATGTGATATTAATGATGGATGAAGACGAACTTAGCTGGAGTTCACTTGCTCTTAATTTTAATTTTTCGATAAGAAAATAAGATAGTTTAATTGCAAATTAAAGGTGATTGCCTAATGCATCGCCTCTGATAATTAGGTTGTGTCTGTACTTACTTATGAGATTATCTTGAAGAAGCATTTTCAACAGGCCTTTTACACATAAAGCATGTTTTCACCATATTATTAGAGATAATAAATCTTAAATATATATTTACAACCCTTACAACATTATAAATAATAATACTTTCCGTAAAATACAAATAAGAAATTGACATGTGTCAGAACTGGCGCTGTCAAACTTGGCAACGCTGATTAAATAAGCCAATTACAGAAGAGGTATTTTCCCCCTCTAGATGTTGCTAACAAAATTTAGAGCGGGGAAGGGGGGAAGACTCCCTCTAGTAGTAATTGCTCGGAGTGTGACCCCGTAGGATTATAGATCGTACGTAGATGCCGCCACGAGTACTAAATAAGAGCCAGACGTGCAATGTCTCGCATTACAAGTTCGTATTTCATCTTGAGTTTTGTCTTGTATTATAACCATTACTGATTACTGTGTTTATCAGAAAACTAGAGAATTAAAGCTAACAACAAGGTGTTGTTTTATTGAGTAGTGTATAAGGCATACATTACAATATGTACTTACCATCAAAGATTACTATTATTTGAATGAACACTAGTAGTTATTTCAAATATTTTCTTTCATGGTTCATGAAGACAGTCAAATTATGTATCACATGTGATACTTTTTTTGATTCGTAGGAAATTGTTTTAAGGAATTAAAAAAAATCAACTTCTATATCTATAAAAAATAAATAATTTTCTTACTTGTATTTTCTGGACCAGAGGAGTTTGTTTTTCGATACTCTCAGCCACTTGTTTCTGAAGCGCTCCGAATGTTTTGCCTAAATTTTCAAAAGATATAGCTGCCTCGTTTATTGCACCATCTTTAGCCAAGGCACTAAGAAATGTTTCTTTCATGTCAGTCGTGGGATTTTTCAGATCGTCTTCAATGGTTGCCCGTTCAGCTTTTAATACATCAACCTTAAAAAATTAAAACAGAAATTATTACAAATCATTGTAATTTAGGATCATACAAATAAAACATGATTTTATTCTTAAAACCAAAATAGTTACGATAAATTTATAGAGAAAGATTTGGCGACCGAAATATTTGGTAGTTTCAGTACTAAAGATACTCATATTTACAGACCTTACAAAGAATGATGTCTCACTTTCTAACTTCAAGATATTCGTGGGAGCATGAAAGTTTAACAAACAAAAAATTAATGAAAACAAGAAATTCTTGCCACTTGTCACAAAATAATACGTCATTCTTGGACCGGTGAAGAAACAGTAACAATTTTATTCCATGTAGGATTAATTCATTTTATATAAACCCTATCAAAAATTAAATCAAAAGTTAGACCAAACTTACGCAAACATTCAGTTATTTAGAAGTAAACTGACTATTCAGAATAATGATTTAACGTATGTCTTATGGTCTAGTTAGCAAGTGCTTTTTGGGTCAAACTTTTTTCTCCGACTCCTCAAAATATGAATGAGGTGCCTATCATTCGATTTGGAATAGGGTGTAGATGATTTTTGAAAAAATCAAGAGTCGCTTGCAAAAGTTATAAATAATCATAGAAATAGTATAGAAAGCCGATTCCATATATCAAAAATGAAACCATAAGGAGAAAATAGTGTGTCGGAGCTCATGCGTATAACGGTGCTGGCGCGAACAGGACCGGTGCAAGTTTTTTATTGATCGAACATATTTGTTCACACGATATTTCAATCATACATTTTTAGAGATGATTCTATACAAAAAACGATTAAAAAAATTTCAAGTTAAGGTAAATATGGTTCTGACAGTCCTTATTAAGAAAGATATGGCATAAAATATGAATTAGTTAATTTTCGGCAATCATTAGTACAGTAGTCATGAGATTTTGCTTGTGATTTTAAAAATACTTTCCAGAAAAACCACGTGCTCCGGTTTTGACTACGTTTATTATTAAACAGCGAAATTATATACAAAAACTTTAATCTACAATCTAAATTAGGTACTATCACAAGAAAATCACTGTTACAATAATTAATTACTTAACCAAAAACTAAAATACTTTTTAGGTACATACGTAACCAGAAAGGAGCTGGACCATTTATCCTAATATTGATTTTCTCTCTCCCTATGGTAAAACTTAAAACAATAACAAATTGCCTATCTACTAGGGTCGGTAACTAAACGTACATACATAATGGGCGGATAAATATTTACAAACAAAGATACTTTTCCAAACAGGCAATCATTAGTACTGTAGTCACGAGATTTTGCTTGTGATTTGACATCTTATTTGATAATATCATTTGCTACAACTAAATTTAATCTGGGGAGTGCAAAATAGGGCCCAGGAATATTATGTTCGATATTTTTTTACATTTTGTCAGCCGAGACTATGAGTCGTTAGACAGAAAACCTTTCATGTTACCATTTTCAATATAAATTAAAAAATTAAAAAATACTACTACATTTACTTGGTACATATTTTATTTTAATTTTGAACCCTTTTAAAAGGGTCTTTCGGTTCCATAATAAAAATTAGTTGCTGCTTACTAGAAACATTCTATATAGCCTAAACCAATTTATAGTTTGTCTTCGATCAATTTAATACAAAGATTTAAAGTTTTTAGTGGATGATAACATTCCACACCAGCACATTGCAAACCTATTTTATAAATAATAGGAATAAACTTGTAAATCATTAATTTGGTAGTTATCTCACTCATATGATTTTTTTGTTTATATGACTATTTCGATTTCTAAATATATTTTGGCCTTACAATACGAAGCTTTTTGTATCTACCACTTTTTTAATGAACGATGAATGTTGACAGGCGTGTACCTTTTTCGGAACAAGAGGCGTTTTAACGAAGGATTTTCGAACTATCTAGTTAGTTTTCGGAAAACTAGAAAACGTTTGAAGAAAGTTGTCAATAACAGTTTGTCGTTCATGTGTTTCATTTTGATCAGCTTTCATACTAAATTGCGTAGAATATTTTTCCGATTCAAAATCGAGATTCTCGATATTTCCACAGTTTATTTATAATACCTTCTAAACTGGATTTATCTATCATTTTATATACTTTATAATATATGTTCATGCCCTACTTTTCACTTTATTAACAATTTTTTTTAACATACTTCAAAATGGTAGGATATTCTCAATTCGTTGAAATATTTTTTTATGTATGTTGAACGATAATTCTTTACCACGTTGCCCGATTTCTAGGATTCTTTTTGTTAGAAAAGGAAACAGTTTTATATACATTAAGTCAAGATCTGAAGATGGGATCCATAAGAAAATCATTAACATCTTTATTTTTAAAGTAGGTTTTTTTTTAAATTTCTTTAATCCTTACTGGTTCGAACGCGGTAAGGAATGAAGAAATGTAAATAATTGTTGTGCCAGCCAAAAAGAGAAGAGGAAGTACCGATTAAAATATCGAGTGACAGAAGAGTTCCTAAGATTGTTGAGATCGGGTTTATGTTTTAAAATGCCTTAAAACCGATATCGATAATGTCTCCCCGTCGCTGGGCAGCCTGTATATAAATATACAGCTCTCTATTTACATAATTATAATTCTTAGGTAGGTTTAGATTTGCAGACATAAATCTTGTAATAAATATAACAGCTGCCTAATACATTGATTACATTTTCATTAGCCAATGTAAAAATGTCTTTTATTGTACCTAGGATTTGACTAAACACTACACAAAACTAAAAATAAAATGCCACTTTCATCGTGTAATTAATGCCGCGTTTGAGAATCCACATCGGATGCATTTTTTACATCTCTAGCGTTTTTTATCCACATCGGACACATCTGTCCCATTACATTTACGTATACTGAATCACGTGATCAAAGATTTACTACTTACTACATCTCAGATGCATCCGATGTGGATTCTCAAACGCGGCATAAATAATAAACTACAAACGGTCCTGTAAGGGCAGCGTCATATAACCTTGAAACACCGGATTTTAGTGATATTGCCAGGTCAATATTGAATTTGTAGGTGAATCGCTTATTGAACATTAAAAATACGGTATTAATGACATTAATACGGTATTTGTATATATTTTTGGGAATGTAATTACACATAAATATTATTAGTTGATTATTTAAATGTTTATAAGTTATTTTGTGGCGATATTTCGTAGATATAAACTGTTTAAATCATATAATTTAAAAATTAATTAATTTAAAATTCTTTTCTGTTAGGTATGTTTAATATATTTGGCAACACTACAGGGACAAGTCATGCATATTGCGCAAGCTTCTAGACACACTATTTTGCGATGTCAGGCGCAGAGACGCGTTTTTATACACAGTAGGTTTCAATTTCTGCTTAAATGTTATGTTTATATTGGTCTTCTATATTATTTCTATGTAAATAATTAACTGAAAAAAAAATAGGATGTTTTTTGCATATATCTCAAAAACTATTTGACATTTTTCAAATTTAAAAAAAGATTCAAAAAGAGGAGGAAATTTCTCACCAAAAAGTCCTAACTCCCGAAACTGTAGGACCAATATTTATAATTTTCCCAAAGGCTTGAAAATACGGACGAAAACGGAGAATCTAGCTTGCATAAGCTCCTTTAATGAATACATTTTATTTAAACTAATTAAATGTGAAAATTACGAATTGAAAAAATTCAGGCGTCTACTGGATAGATGAATTAACAATAATCCGTGGTTAAAAAATTCTTATCACGATTTTTCTATTAATTATGCATTAATTAATTAACAATTTTTTTCCTACTTGAACATGAACATTGCAAGTGCGATAATTGTTAAATAACAAATCTGAGATTTTTTTCCTTTTTTTGGAGCAATTTTTGATCGGTCTCAAAAGATATTAACGTTGGAAACATTAAAAAATTGTTATTTTTCACTTTGTTATTAACAATTTACTAACAATAAACTTACAGCTAAAGGTAATTATAAAATATTCCACATACTTTTTATTTTGAAAGTGACACTGAAACAAATGTTCATAATGTTATTTTGTTGCTAGAGTAGTAATCGATAGTTTTTCGAAACTTTAAACAGATACCATCTGATTTCTATAGTATAATAAATAATAAAAAAAAAAATATTCCACATACTTTTTATTTTAAAAATGATTTTAATAAAACAAAAGTCCATAATGTATACTCATTCTGTTTTTGGACTAGTAATCGATAATTTTTCGGAATTTTAAACAGATACCATCTGATTTCTGTAGTATAATAAATAATAAAAAAAATATTCCACATACTTTTTATTTTGAAAATGATATTAATAAAACGAAAGTTCATAATGTATACTCATTCTGTTTATAGACTAGTAATCGATGGTTTTTCGGAACTTTAAACACATCCTATCTGATTTCTGTAGTATAATAAATAATAAAAAAAATATTCCACATACTTTTTATTTTAAAAATGATATTAATAAAACGAAAGTTCATAATGTATACTCATTCTGTTTATAGACTAGTAATCGATGGTTTTTCGGAACTTTAAACACATCCTATCTGATTTCTGTAGTATAATAAATAATAAAAAAAAATATTCCACATACTTTTTATTTTAAAAATGATCTTAATAATACAAAAATCCATAATGTATACTCGCTCTGTTTCTGGACTAGTAATCGATAAAAGAAATATAAAAGTTAAATGTTGACCATAGCCCTTAGTTCTTGAAATATTTATGGTCAATACCCAGACCGAGACGCTAAGTGCTTAAATAACAAAATTATGAAATATGTAATACATAAGTTATTAATAGAAAAACTCTAGAACATTTTGTGTGTAAAAGTATAAGCAAATGAAACCTTCATTATAATATAAAAAACCTGATAGTAGGGTGTCTCCGTTGACAGCAACACCGTGTTCTTATCCAGATAAAGAACAATACCATTGATGAAAAAACTTAATATGTATTTATTTATTCTTTATTAATTAAAGAACAAATTAAGCTTAAAATTCAATCACTTACCCAATTATTTATTTAATTTAAAGCATTTATTTATAAAAAAAGAACTAACAGGAAATTTAATTATATAAATTCAATAAAAATATAAATAATTTTTTTTTCTCAAAAAATAATACATTGTTTTTGTTTCATGTAGAAAAATTAAAAAAATATATATAAAAAAAATTGTTTACAACAAATTGTCTATTAAATAAACAATGAAAATTTAAATAAAACATTTTTTTTAGTTAGGTTTTTATTGTCAGTTTCTAAATAAAAATATGATGTGTCCAACACATGACTTTCCTATCTAGTTATTATAGGCTTTTTCCGGTTATTTTGTACAACCTATTGCAGCATCTCTATAAATGTTTAGAGGATAAACTAAATATATACATTGTCCACATACATCTACCTCGAAACATTTTTCTATAGATATTCATTGAAAATGAAAATACTGAAAAATTTAAATTTCCTACACTTTTTTCATTACGGTCCATCTTAGAAAAATCATGCATAAACAAAAATTATAGAGATCGATATCGCAAACAACTTTTATTTTAAAAACTTTCATAAAAATCAGAATTTTGCACATTTTGTCAAATTTCTCGAATACGGACCATTTCAGGAAATTTTTACATAAAACAAAAATTATAGATAATAATATTAGAAGTAACTTTTATTTGAACAATTTTTTTTCTCCAAACATTAATAACAGATATATTCCATAAAATATAAAAGTGGCCTCCCATAAAGTACCCCCCCAGATGTTCCGACTATGTCCAAAATCTAATAATTTCACGTCAGGCCGAAATAAACCTTAAGTTTAAAATTTAATGTTTTTTTCTTTATCCGTTTTTGAGTTTTCTTCAAAATTCGAAATTTACACATTTTCTCAAATATCTCGAATACGGTCCATTTTAGAGAAATTATGTATAGAATAAAAATTACAGAGAATTATATTACAAACAACTTTTATTTGAACAATTTTTATAAAAAAATATTTTTTTTTAACATTTTGTCAAATTTCTCGAATACGGGCCATTTTAGGAAAATTTTGCATAAAACAAAAATTATAGATAATTATATTAGAAGTAACTTTTATTTGAAGAATTTTCTTCTCCAAACGTAAATAACAGATATATTCTATAAAATATAAAAATGACCACCTATAAAGTACCCCCCAGATGTTCCGACTCTGCCCAAAATCTAATCAGCTCATTGGACGCTGAAACAAAGCTTAAGTTTAAAATTTGGTGTTTTTTTGTGTATCGGTTCATGAGTTATGCGTTATACAGACACACACACAGACACACACACAGACACACACACACACACATACACATACACATACACATACACATACACATACACATACACATACACATACACATACACATACACATACACATACACATACACATACACATACACATACACATACACATACACATACACATACACATACACATACACATACACATACACATACACATACACATACACATACACATACACATACACATACACATACACACACACACACACACACACACACACACACACACACACACACACACAGACATCATCGCGAAAATAGTCAAAACGGATTCAGGGGACCTCAAAACGTAAAAATCCGTCGAAAACTCGAGGTCGAAAAAAATCATGATTCCTATACTTTCCTTATATCTGTATACAGATAGGAAAGTAAAAAGTATGTGGAATATTTTTTTATTTATTATACTACAGAAATCAGATGGGATCTGTAATCTGTAAGTTCCGAAAAATTATCGATTACTAGTTCAGAAACAGAGTAAGTATACAGCATGGACTTTTGTTTTATTAAAGACATTTTTAAAATAAAAAATATGTGGAATATTATTTTAAATTATTTATTATACTAACGAAATCAGATTATATCTGTTTAAAGTTTCGAAAAATTATCGATTACTAGTCCAGAAACAGAGTAAGTATTCATTATGGACTTTTGTTTTATTAAAGACATTTTTAAAATAAAAAGTATGTGGAATATTTTTTTTAATTTATTATATTACAGAAAACAGATGGGATCTACCAAAAAATTATCGATTACTAGTCCATAAACAGAATGAGTATACATTATGGACTTTTGTTTTATTAAAGTCATTTTTAAAAACAAAAAGTATGTGGAATATTTTTTTTTTATTGTACTACAGAAATCAGATTGTAACTGTTTAAAGTTCCGAGAAACTATCGATTACTTGTCCATAAACTGAATGAGTATACATTATGGACTTTTGTTTCATTAAAGTCATTTTTAAAATAAAAAGTATGTGGAATATTTTTTTAAATTATTTATTATACTACAGAAATCAGATGGTATCTGTTTAAAGTTCCGAAAAACTATCGATTACTTGTCCATAAACTGAATGAGTATACATTATGGACTTTTGTTTTATTAAAGTCATTTTTAAAATAAAAAGTATGTGGAATATTTTTTTTTATTATTTATTATACTACAGAAATCAGATTATATCTGTTTAAAGTTTCGAAAAATTATCGATTACTAGTCCAGAAACAGAGTAAGTATTCATTATGGACTTTTGTTTTATTAAAGACATTTTTAAAATAAAAAGTATGTGGAATATTTTTTTTTAATTTATTATATTACAGAAAACAGATGGGATCTGTTTAAAGTTCCGAAAAATTATCGATTACTAGTCCATAAACAGAATGAGTATACATTATGGACTTTTGTTTTATTAAAGTCATTTTTAAAAACAAAAAGTATGTGGAATATTTTTTTTTTATTATACTACAGAAATCAGATTTTATCTGTTTAAAGTTCCGAGAAACTATCGATTACTTGTCCATAAACTGAATGAGTATACATTATGGACTTTTGTTTTATTAAAGTCATTTTTAAAATAAAAAGTATGTGGAATATTTTTTTAAATTATTTATTATACTACAGAAATCAGATGGTATCTGTTTAAAGTTCCGAAAAATTATCGATTACTAGTCCAGAATCAGAGTAAGTATACATTATGGACTTTTGTTTTATTAAAGTCATTTTTAAAATAAAAAGTATGTGGAATATTTTTTATTATTTATTATACTACAGAAAACAGATGGGATCTGTTTAAAGTTCCGAAAAATTATCGATTACTAGTCCATAAACAGAATGAGTATACATTATGGACTTTTGTTTTATTAGACATTTTTAAAATAAAAAATATGTGGAATATTTTTTTAAATTATTTATTATACTAACGAAATCAGATTATATAGGTTTAAAGTTCCGAAAAATTATCGATTACTAGTCCAGAAACAGAGTAAGTATACATTATGGACTTTTGTTTTATTAAAGACATTTTTAAAATAAAAAGTATGTGGAATATTATTTTAAATTATTTATTATACAAACGAAATCAGATTATATCTGTTTAAAGTTTCGAAAAATTATCGATTACTAGTCCAGAAACTGAATGAGTATACATTATGGATTTTTGTTTTATTAAAGTCATTTTTAAAATAAAAAGTATGTGGAATAATTTTTTTTTTATTTATTATACTACAGAAATCAGATGATATCTGTTTAAAGTTCCGAAAAATTATCGATTACTAGTCCAGAATCAGAGTAAGTATACATTATGGACTTTTGTTTTATTAAAGACATTTTTAAAATAAAAAGTATATAGAATATTTTTTAATTATTTATTATACTAACGAAATCAGATTATATCTGTTTAAAGTTTCGAAAAATTGTCGATTACTAGTCCATAAACAGAATGAGTATACATTATGGACTTTTGTTTTATTAAAGTCATTTTTAAAATAAAAAGTATGTGGAATATTTTTTTAAATTATTTATTATACTACAGAAATCAGATTGTATCTGTTTAAAGTTCCGAAAAATTACCGATTACTAGTCCAGAAACAAAGTAAGTATACATTATGGAATTTTGTTTAATTAAGGTTATTTTCAAAATAAAAAGTATGTGAAATATTTTTTTTTATTTATTATACTACAGAAATCCTCAATTTTTTCAATTCGTAATTTTCATACTTAACAAGTTTAATTAATAAGTATTCATTAAAGGTCCACATTGGGCGGAGCTTAGGCAAGCCAGAGCCTCCGTTTTCGGTCGTATTTTCAATCCGCTGGGAAAATATTTGTCCTACAGTTCCGGGAGATAGGACTTTTTGGTACGAAATTTCCTCCTCTTTTGGAATCTTTTCTCAAATTTGGATAATATCAAATAGTTTTTGAGAAATTTGCAAAAAACCAAACCCTATTTTTTTTTTTGAGTAAATTGTTTATAACTTTTTGCAAGCGGCTCTTGAATTTTTTCAAAAATCATCTACACACTATTCGGAATCTAATGACACCTTGTTCGTATTTTTCGGAGGCGTAGAAAAAAGTTTGACCCACAAAGCACTTATTAACTAGACTATTATTGTTACCAATAAATGTTTATTGACGACATACACATTTTCATTGGTACCAAAATGATTAAAGTATTTCTGTCGCCATTTCTTATACTACTAATGGTATAAACCACTAAACTAAAATTAGTTTTTGATAATATTAATACAGGAATTTTCAAAGAACAATCACCGTATTTTATTAATTTTATATTAAAAGCAAACCAAAAAAATATTTAACAATTTAAAAACTAGTTGCTTTCAATCTATTCCATAAAATTCATTTAAACAAACTTAAGTGGTTTTAAAATATAGATTTAATACCAACCTCTTCCATTAACTGTCTTAAAGTCTGCACTGCTGAAGAATTTTGAACGTTTCCAGATCCTCCACTGGGCAGAGCAGTTTGAATAGCATCAGAACCTGTACTTAACAATTCCATGCCACTCTTGTGGGTATCAAACTTCTCTCTAACAGTTTTATCAGCAGTTACTGCGTTGTTAATGATTTGTCTAAAATTGATACAAAAGTTTCAGTAAATTTCATTTCACAATATAAAAAGCGACGTAAGTAAACAAGACATAATTTGGTTTCTATAATACCTGTATTTAGCCGAATTTGACCTGAACATCTCTGTCAGTTTATCAGATGGTGTTCTATTCCATTTGTCTTTGAATTGAGTACGTAGTTGATCATCTGAAGATTTTTCTTCGTTTAACATTCTGTCCGTTTCATCCAAAATATCTTGATTCCTTTTTAACAGTTCTGGTAGTTCATCGATCATTCTTTTAAGTTCAGTTATACCACCTAATAAATATAAATAATGTTCCAATAACATAATAGATAATCAATATTATGCAAAAAAAATGTAATCACTTACCTAAAGAACTAACTGCATTGGCCTTTTCCAAAATCGATGGTGGCACTTCGCTTCCCCCACTCGTTACTTCAATAGCTGCTGGTAAGTTCAAACTAGCCAACAATCCATTTAGCATTTGACTCGCCTCTCTAAGCTTCGAAATTTCTGTATTGACAATCTCAGTTTTTCGAATATCATAAGATGCCAGTGCTTGATGAACAGCTACCGGAACCAATTCGGTAAATACATCGCTAAAGTTTTGACTCATGGGATGCGCGAGAGGTAAAACTTTTGCCGGCTGAGCTTTGCCGATGGAATCGACCGACTTTATGTCCGGAATGATTTCATGATAAATGAAATCGTTATCTTTGACAGCTTCTGCGAGATTTCTTTCGACTTTCAATGCGATTTCACCAAAAAGAGTTCTACCTGAACGGGTTTGAGAGGCTCTAAGTAGTTCATTTGCTCTCTGCAACAAAAAACAATCATTTGAATTTTAAACTTAATATTCTGCCACAAATTTTATCATTTTTAAAATAAAAAATATGTGGAATATTTTTTTTTATTATTTATTATACTACAGAAATCAGATGATATCTGTTTAAAGTTCCGAAAAATTATCGATTACTAGTCCAGAATCAGAGTAAGTATTCATTATGGACTTTTGTTTTATTAAAGATATTTTTAAAATAAAAAGTATGTGGAATATTTTTTTTAATTTATTATACTACAGAAATCAGATGGTATCTGTTTAAAGTTCCGAAAAACTATCGATTACTTGTCCATAAACTTTTGTTTTATTAAAGTCATTTTTAAAATAAAAAGTATGTGGAATATTTTTTTTTATTATTTATTATACTACAGAAATTAGATGGTATCTGTTTAAAGTTCCGAAAAATTATCGATTACTAGTCCACAATTAGAGTAAGTATACATTATGGATTTTTGTTTTATTAAAGTCATTTTTAAAATAAAAAGTATGTGGAATATTTTTTTTATTAATTATTATACTACCGAAATCTGATGATATCTGTTTAAAGTTCCGAAAAATTATCGATTACTAATCCAGAATCAGAGAAAGTATACATTATGGACTTTTGTTTCATTAAAGTCATTTTTAAAATAAAAAGTATGTGGAATATTTTTTTTATTATTTATTATACTACAGAAATCAGATAGTATCTGTTTAAAGTTTCGAAAAACTATCGATTACTTGTCCATAAACTGAATGAGTATACATTATGGACTTTTGTTATATTAAAGACATTTTTAAAATAAAAAGTATGTGGAATATTTTTTTTTATTATTTATTATACTATAGAAATCAGATGATATCTGTTTAAAGTTCCGAAAAATTATCGATTACTAGTCCAGAATCAGAGAAAGTATACATTATGGACTTTTGTTTTATTAAAGTTATTTTTAAAATAAAAAGTATGTGGAATATTTTTTTTTATTATTTATTATACTACAGAAATTAGATGGTATCTGTTTAAAGTTCCGAAAAATTATCGATTAATAGTCCACAATCAGAGTAAGTATACATTATGGACTTTTGTTTAATTAAAGTCATTTTTTAAATAAAAAGTATGTGGAATATTTTTTTTTATTAATTATTATACTACCGAAATCTGATGATATCTGTTTAAAGTTCCGAAAAATTATCGATTACTAGTCCAGAATCAGAGAAAGTATACATTATGGACTTTTGTTTTATTAAAGTCATTTTTAAAATAAAAAGTATGTGGAATATTTTTTTTATTATTTATTATACTACAGAAATCAGATAGTATCTGTTTAAAGTTTCGAAAAACTATCGATTACTTGTCCATAAACTGAATGAGTATACATTATGGACTTTTGTTATATTAAAGACATTTTTAAAATAAAAAGTATGTGGAATATTTTTTTTATTATTTATTATACTACAGAAATCAGATAGTATCTGTTTAAAGTTTCGAAAAACTATCGATTACTTGTCCATAAACTGAATGAGTATACATTATGGACTTTTGTTATATTAAAGACATTTTTAAAATAAAAAGTATGTGGAATATTTTTTTTATTATTTATTATACTACAGAAATCAGATGATATCTGTTTAAAGTTCCGAAAAATTATCGATTACTAGTCCAGAATCAGAGAAAGTATACATTATGGACTTTTGTTTTATTAAAGTCATTTTTAAAATAAAAAGTATGTGGAATATTTTTTTTATTATTTATTATACTACAGAAATCAGATGGTATCTGTTTAAAGTTCCGAAAAACTATCGATTACTTGTCCATAAACTGAATGAGTATACATTATGGACTTTTGTTATATTAAAGTCATTTTTAAAATAAAAAGTATGTGGAATATTTTTTTTTATTTATTATACTACAGAAATCAGATGGTATCTGTTTAAAGTTCCGAAAAATTATCGATTACTAGTCCATAAACAGAATGAGTATACATTATGGACTTTTGTTTAATTAAAGTCATTTTTAAAATAAAAAGTATGTGGAATATTTTTTTTTTATTATTTATTATACTACAGAAATTAGATGGTATCTGTTTAAAGTTCCGAAAAATTATCGATTACTAGTCCAGAATTAGAGTAAGTATACATTATGGATTTTTGTTTTATTAAAGTCATTTTTAAAATAAAAAGTATGTGGAATATTTTTTTTATTAATTATTATACTACCGAAATCTGATGATATCTGTTTAAAGTTCCGAAAAATTATCGATTACTAGTCCAGAATCAGAGTAAGTATACATTATGGACTTTTGTTATATTAAAGTCATTTTTAAAATAAAAAGTATGTGGAATATTTTTTTTTTATTATTTATTATACTACAGAAATCAGATGATATCTGTTTAAAGTTCCGAAAAATTATCGATTACTAGTCCAGAATTAGAGTAAGTATACATTATGGATTTTTGTTTAATTAAAGTCATTTTTAAAATAAAAAGTATGTGGAATATTTTTTTTTTATTATTTATTATATTACAGAAATCAGATGATATCTGCAACAAAAAACAATCATTTGAATTTTTAACTTAATATTCTGCCACAAATTTTATCAGTCATTAAAAATAAAATATTTTTCATTGAAATTTTTACTTTTATATGAGAACTTTTTCTTTAAAATTAACTTACCCTTAATCTGGATATCTCTTGTCCAATATTTTTATTAGATTTGCAAACCAAACTTTGATAAAATTCAGCAATAGCACCTAGAGCTGCTTGCTTACCAGCAATCTTAAAAAAAAAACAGCAATCATTAAACTATTTAAAAAATATATAAATAATTATCGTAAATACCATAGGAATCCATTCTTTATCCCAAATATTTTTCAGATTTTCTCTCTGGAACGTTTTCAACGTTTCTGCATACAAATCTTCACATTGGGAAGCCAATTTGGCAACAATGGAATCTTTCATGTTATCTAAATAGTATAAAAAAATTAATATTAAAGATTGACGTACACCTAACGGTTTTAACCAATGATGAATGACAGCTTGACATCACGATGTGGTGCCACCTAGCTGACTACACGTTTTATTTAGTTTCCCAATGATTTCTAACAAAAACGAGTAATGGTGATGAAAATAAAATACCAGTAAGATCTCAGAAGGTGAATTAAGTATCATTATCGTAAACCCATTGCAACATACTGCTAACTGAACAACAACAATGTGGTCACCACGAAATACATTTCTTCAGGAATTTCATTTAGTCCACACAATGTTCTAGTTTATTTTACTGGTTGTTCAGCCATTTAATTTCATAGAATGTGATAATGTCAATGCCAAGTTGTGTTTGATCAGTCAGATGCATTGAGTGAGGAACAATTTTAAATAAATAATATTGATCTGTTAAAATTCAGGGAAAAACCAGAGCAGATTTCAATTTTTAATTATAGTCTAACAAAATAAGGAGTTTCAAAAAAAACTTCAGCCATATGTTGAGAATTGTTACGATTCTAGAGGCTAAATTTATTTTAGGATCATACTGTTTTTACTCCAGCTGTAACTAGTTCATTGATAGGTTAAGAACAAACTCGAGGAGTAAGACAAGTGCTAAGGAATGGGCAGAAAGAAAGAATAGAAAAAAAATCCATATCTATAGTCTATTTTTATGTATGAGAGAGTAATAAAACAGCATTTCTAATGCAAAACTTAGTACGGTCATTTTAAATATTTTTACAGAATAATCTAAATATTTCCTAATATTGTAATAAATGTACCTGAGCTATTACAAGTTTTGGGTCTTTTATTGGTCCTTTATAAACATAAGCTGTACAGAACAATAGAAAAAGGTTTGGACAGGCCAAAAGCCCTGTGTATTAAAGATTACATAGCTGTATCTTAAGATTATTTTCAATAAGTACCTATTTGCCAATTTTGTTTTATTTTAATTCCAAGAATTTCTTACAGTAATCCAATTAAAAGTAGATAAATACCTTCCCAACAAATTTCACCGAAAATGCGACTATAGGTTTTCCATTTAGTAAGGAGGTCCAAGTTGTGTATTCTTGACAGTTTACTAAATGTCGTTTAGTTGCAACTTGCAAGGTGCAGTGTGAATTCTAGTGTGATCATGGAAAATTTGGAAGGGCCGCGTAAACGACAAAAAATCGGTCCTTTAACAGTTAATGAAAAAACATTAATATTTAATTGTTTTAAATCATTTACAGACAAACATTTATGTAAAAGTGTTGATGACACAGTGGAATTAGTTAGTACTGTAGGGCTCGGAATTGTATTCGGATAATTCGATAATTCGAATATTCGAATACTCAAAATTTGATATTTTTAGATCGAAATTATTCGAATAGTCGAATATTCGAATAGTTGAATATTCGAATAGTCAATATTCGAATACTCGATATTCGAATATTCGACTAATTGAACTAGGTATTCGATACTCGAATATTTTACTATTCGAATACTTAAATATCGGAATACTGTAAATGTTGAAATATTCGGATATATATTTTGAATTAATTTATATACCTAATTTACGTTTCTTTTTTATCTATTGCTTTAAAATAAATGTAGAAGAAAAATGACTAACAAAATTCTGACTTGAGATTCGGGACTAATACGTTACGGCAACAATGTATTTATTTATTTCCTTGTAGTGCTGGCGTTTTATTTGGTAAATGAGAAAAACCCCAATGTTGTTTCACATTCGCACTTTTCACATGCTTGTTTATGTTTGTTAAGTTATAACTTACTAGTTATTTTATTCATATTAGTGGGTGTAGTCAGTCAACGTTTGTCCGATACAGATGTTAAATATGAGTTCAGAACGCAGTAAGATTTGGCTTTATTTCGATAAAAAAGAAAATCGTGTGTAGTGTAAATTAATACCTTACAATGTCATACACAGAAGTAATACCAGTAATTTGTGGAATCAATTAAGAACCAAGCATCATACCAAAACAAACAGGTTTGAATTATACGTTAATCAAATAATCAAATACTCAAACATTCGAATATTCGAATACTCGAATATTCGAAAACTCGAATAATCGTATACTCGAAAATTCGAATACTCGAATATTCGAATACTCGAATATTCGAATACTCGAATATTCGAATACTCGAATAATCGAATACTCGTATAATCGAATATTCGAATATTCGAATATTCGAATACTTAGAAATATTCGAATAGTGAATAATTTGGGTATTCGAATTAAGTTTCAAACGAATATTCGAATACAAAAATCTGAAAAATTCCGAGCCCTAGTTAGTAGTACGCTTGGTGTTGGGAAATCTACGATTTACAGAGTTGTTAAAGAAGAGAAATGTGGCGAGTTTCAAACAGCACGTTAAGCTCCAGGAAACCCAAAATTTCATTTAGAAAATCTTTTGAAAGAAAGACTTCGAAGGAAAGTGCATGCGTTTTCTTTAGAAAAGAATTTCCGACAATAGACAAAGTTCTTGCGACGGTTCGAGATGATAAGGATTACCCTGAAATGAGTCGAAGCACACTATGGAAACTTTTAAAAGAAATAGGTTTTCTATGGAAAAAGCATTCCAGAAAGTCTATTTTAATAAAAAGAAGCGATATTGTAGTATGGAGAAGAAATTACCTAAGGACTATAAAAGAAATGAGAAACCAAAGAAGAAATATATTTTATTTAGATGAAACATGGATCAACGAGGGACATAAACCAAATAAATGTTGGCAAGATGAAACTATTACAAGTCAAAGACAGGCTTATTTAAATAATTTATCTACTGGTTTAAATCCACCATCAGGAAAGGGGCGCAGACTAATAATAGTACACATCGGTAGTTCTAACGGTTTTGTTAAAGGTGACTTTTGAATCTACTCGTACTGGTGACTTCCATGAGGACATGAATGCTGATGTCTTTAAAGAGTGGTTCGAACAAATTATAGATCTTCTTCCTCAGAACTGTATAATAGTAATGGATAATGCAAGTTATCACTCGAGACCAAGTGGTTAAAAAAAGATTTACAGAATTGGTTAAATTCAAAGAATATTAAGTTCCATCCCGGTTCTGTGAGAAAAGAACTGTATCATTTATGTTCCCTTCATAAAGAGAAACTCAAAAAATATTAAATTGATGAAATTGCAAAAAATCGTGGGACGACGGTGGTTAGATCACCACCATATCATTGCGAAGTAAACCCGATTGAACTAATATGGGCACAGATAAAGGGAGAAGTTTCAAGAAAAAATAATTCTTTTAAAATGAGTGATGTTAATCAATTGTTTTTGGAGGCTGTAAATAATGTGAAGCCTGAAAACTGGGAAAAGGCAGTAAATCATATGATTAAAGAAGAAGAGAAAATGTGGAAGTTGGACAATATTACTGATGAAATGATCGAGCCACTCATTACGACAGTTCATCTTCTGATTTCGATTCTGATTTGGATTTGTAGGTAAGAAGTAGTTTTTATATTAAAATTATTATTTATGAACGTAACGTTGTTTAAAAGTCAAAGTTTAAACCCTTATACCTACATAACCCGTTTGACACAATGTTCTTAACATACCTTGTGGAAAAATAAAACATTTTAGAAAAAATTGCACTTTTTACCTTCAGCTGTTTAGAAGTTATAAGCAGGTTAATTAGGTGAAAATATAAGTGTATACTCGAGGAATAACTTCAAAAAATATTTTAACTGTCTACTAAAAGAAGTGGTACGCCTATGGATTACGAACGCTTTATTTTAATACTCTCTCATACATAAAAATAGACTATAGAGATGGGCAGAGTACTGCATTAAAGTACTATTTTATTATTAATAGAATTCTAAATACTCAGTTTCTATCTTTATTAAAACAATTGACAGTTATTCTCATCTGAAACACTTTAATTAGCCTATTTTTTAAATAAATAATAGACCAATTATAAAGTATAAAAAAATTTAGCATACTGTTTTATTTTCCACACCAATAAGTACGTCCCTCTCATGTTCACTCTATATATCCTCGCTCTGTGGTCATTAATACAGTTTATTAAATACAATGGAGTTCTAAAAAAATATACCTTACCATGAATGGCTTTATGTACAAAAATTTGTTGAGCTTGTGCTAACATTAACTGAGATAAGGCGCCCAAAGTATCAGGATTCAAGTCTGGAGTCGGATCTTGCTGTATAGCAAGCATTACTGTTGATTTCAGGTAGTTATATATTCCTGAGGCTTGCTGAAAATAAAAATTAATATGCCTAAATAATAATAAAATTAAAAATCCAGATTTTATAAGATAAAAAACAGAGAAATAATCTTTACAAAACTACGCTTTCTCAATAAGAAATAACGTATATTTAATAATAATAAATACGTTTATTACTCGATACATACAAAATAATTATAATTTTAATAATATTACAAAAAAAAGTACAGAGAGTAAATGGCAATTTAGCTCAGTTCAGCAAGGTCACGAGGACCGTACTGTCTGTTCTTCCGCTAAAGCCAGAAAAATAAAAATAAATAAATAACATGAACCTAAAAGCACATAGCACACAGAGCTTATTAATTTATTAAGTCTTTAATAGGAGGAAAATGCTACAAGAGCAAAAACATCGAGAAGAAAACGAAGTAAAATTACCAATACAAAATATCTGAACAGTATTATAGAGATCGTTATACATATAATAAAAAAAAAACAATTTATTATTAGTGTAGTACTTAAAAAGGTCTTTACAAAAACATACCACATATTCCTTAGACCAAAATAAGTCGATTTAAGTAAAATTACCTTAGTACAAAGTTACTTCGTTTGGGCTCCAGAGGGCCTTGAAGTTACAATTTTTAAATCGTTTTTCCCATATAAATTTAAAATGGCATATGCGATTTTGCTGAAATTTGGTATATTGGTAGTGTATAATTCTCAAAGATGAATAAATTCTATTTCTATTATTTCTATTTCTTAATTTGGCAGTTATATGTGGAACTCCTATTGTTAAATCAATTTTTTTGAGCTTTTTTCATACCTATTTCAACCTCTAACAAGTTTTGTAGCAGTATCAGAAAAACCTAGATAATGTGTGATTGCCAAAAGTAGTTTATGATTCAGCATATCAAATGCTTTAGAGTAACCCAGTAAAATTAAGATACTTAATTTATTATTAGCTTCAGCATGAATCATGTCATCAATTATTACATCAGCAAGAGCAGTCGCGCAACTATGTCCCTTGCGAAAGCCGGACTGTTTAGTGGGTAATAAATTAAATTTAGTTAAATGTTTTCTGATTTGAAACTCCATAATTCTCTCTAGTAGTATAACACTGGTAATACTGTTATGTGAGCCATTTCATTATTCAGTCATGCTCTAACCCTACAAGTCCCTCTCTGTCTTATTTGGCCTTTGAGGCTCAACTTGTCCGATTATTATACATAATTAAACCCCTTAAGACCAAACCTATGGGACGAATATGGCGGAAGAGTTTTCGAATAATGTTCCAGAAAAGACGGGATAATGTTTCTAGAGAATTTGGTGAAGTTTCTAGAGAATTTGGTGACCTTTCTAGCGCATTCGCCAAACTTTTAAATTTGTATATAAATATTGGTGGAGAACATAGTTAATCAGTTGATATATGGACAGTGAAGATAAATAGTAATTAGTAGATAGACAATGGTGAATATAAATAGGGATCAGTTTAAAGATATATGGGTATTACCTTTGAAAATTTCCAGTTTCGAGGAAAGTAAGATGATATAATACACTGATTAATAATATTAGTAATGTAAGGAATTATAAAAGGACAAAACAGCAGCAACATTGAGATCATCAGTACCAAAAGCTTTAGATTTATTATTTAATATTATATTAGAAATAATTTCTTCTGTAATAGTTTCAAACTGAAAGTTATTATTAATCTTATTTTTTGTGTTTAAGGCATAAAAATTTATTGTCTCATCCTTTGGGTCTTTATTTTGCAAACTAGTAAAGTATTTATTTATATTATCAACATCATTCAAATGATTAGGTATTTCCTTAGGTTTATTATTTTTTATATTTAATTTATTTATCTCATTCCACATTTGTTTAGAATTAGAATTTAAAGTAGATCTTTTTCTCATTCATAATCGCATAATTGGTGTAATTCCTCAATTGCTTATAGTAAGACCAGTTCCCACCAGGTTTATTTTTTTTACAATTTTTCTGTGCATTGTCACGTAATTTTTGCAATAATTTTATATTATCCATAATCCAAGGTGCATAAGGCTTATTTCTGATACGTCTAGTGATAACAGGCGCAAAAATGTCGATAAATTGCAAAATGTTATTGGTTAAAATTTCAACTTTTTTATCAATATT